CTGTATGCATCCGAAGAAGTGGGCTGTAGTCCACGAAAGCTTATGCTCTAATAAATTTGTTAGTCTCTAAGGTGCCACAAGTACTCCTGTTCTTTTTGCGGATACAGACTAACATGGCTGCTACTCTGAAACCTTTAATATTTTTATAAAAGCAAAGAAATAACTGAACTACATTCAGGAGTAGATCTAAAACAGCCTCTAAAATGCATCTAATAGCTCTTTATGTTAAAAAGCAAGTTAAACATGTTTTGTTTTTTTGTTATTTGAATCATTATAGGCCAAATTCTGCTCTTGCATACATGTGTGCTACTCAAATTGAAGTCTATGGTGCCGATTTTGAAATCTGAAATCCTAAATAGTCAAATGTCTTCTGTGGAGCAAGGAAGGTAATTCAAGGGGATCAGAATCTGACTCCTGGGTGAGAGCTATCCCCATGTATCCAGAGCCACAATTTGGCTCTCTATACTGTCAGCATTAACTGAAACCCCGATTCACTGAAACATCCCTATTCAGCAAAGAACTTAAGCATATATTTCACTTTAAACACATTATTATATCTCATTAAAGCATTGGGACTTAAACATGTGTTAAAGTACTAACAGGGATGGACTTAAGCATGTGCTTAGATGCTTTACTGAATAAGGACCCAAAGAGTAACCATTAGGTTGGAGGGAATTTTATTTACAGTTTTCTTGGCAGGTGCATGTGATTTCAGATCTTTCAACTCACTTCAGTACATAGTTGTTGACTCCATATTTGATGATAGTGATAAAAAAAAATCAGAGTAAAACCAGGAAAAAAGATTGTCAAATCTCATCCTACATTTAGTTTCCCATGAAATAGCTAACACACAATAACTAGTGTTATAATTGCTCCTTCCTGTAGTGCCAGATTAGGTCAGGGGTCTTTGAAGTGCTTGGCAAAGGGACTTAATTCCTGGCAGAGGGCACCAAAGGTGCACGGGGATTCCCTGGTAAGATATATGCATATTAGTTCACCAAAAGGTGGCATGTGAGGTCTCTACTGAGAGCCAGTTGCTCACTGGTCATCATAATCATTGTGAAATGTAGGTATAGATAATAATTGAGTTATGTATCTGTACTAAAAGTTCACGTTCTCGAGGTCTTAAAGGTAAGACAACTCACCATAAGGTGACATGCCTTGGAAAGGCTCTTTTCAGGCAGGAGGTAACAGATGCTGGGCTGTATTTCAAACAGCCCTTCTGAGTTTCCCTCTTTACAAGAGCAATGCATCCCCCGCCTCCTCCAGGAGCTGGGGCTGTATTCCAGACAGCCCCCTGTGTCTCTCCCTTTATGCATCTCCCAGCTCTCCTCCTTGATCTGGGGCTGTAATATAGGTCAGCAGCAAGGCCTTAACCAGCTTCTCCTTCAGCTGGCCCCTTTTCCTCTAGTAGTCCTCAAGCTGATAGAGTTGCGCAGGCAGCCTTCTCCTGCTGGTATCTGCCCACTATGAGGGAGAAGGCAGCATATATGCTAGTCCCCTTCCCCAGCTCATCCCCTATTGGTTGGTTGAGAAGGGAGTCTTGCCCTGCCCCACTCTGTAAGGCTCCTGATCCCAGGTCCTTAAAGGAACAGTAATGAATTTCTCTCCATAAAGTACTACTCGCCGCCAGGACTGCTTCCTTTCTACCCATATCTCCTATTTCTCAGATCTTTGCCTATATCAGACTTCCTCAGCTCTTAAAGAACCATGACTATGGGACAGGGATTGCTGACCCTTAGGCCTTACTACCTTTAAAGGACAACCTAACCCCATCATAGTTCTGGACAATTGTGGTTGGAATGGTGGACCGCAAGAGGAGAGGTTTGGTAGTAGTGAAATCAGTGGGCTATCCTAAACAGCTTTTTAATGGATACTACAGATTTTGGCTGTTTGTCAAACATAGTGCCCTCAGTCCGCCAGGGTTAGGCAATATTTTTACTTCCTGTTATTAGGTGAAGTGGGTTAGCAGGCAACAGTTTTAATGTAGCCCAGGGCAAAAGCAAGGAGAGCGGTTGATTATATTGTAATAGAACTTCCCTGGATGTATTCCTGTTTGAACTGTAGCATATCTTTTAGAGAAATATCCAATCTTGATTTAAAAGTTTCCAGATATAAAAAATTCACCACAACCCTAGATAAAATGTTCCAGTGGTTAATTACTCTCCCTGTTAAAATTTTGCATATTTCTAGTCAAATTTTAGCTAACTTCAACTTTGTCTACTAGATTGAAGAGCCCTCTATTATCCAATTGCTGTTCCCTTTGTCAGTACTTCCTGTGATCAAGCTGGTCCTTAACATTCTCTTTGATAGGCTAAATAAATTGAGCTATAAGGCTTGTTTTTCTATCCTTTAATCATTCTCATGGCTCAGCTCTGAATTTTCTCCAATTTTTCAACATCCTTCTTGAATTGTGGATACCAAATGTGGACACAGTATTTCAGTACCATTCATACCAGGGCCAAAAATATTGCCCAACATCCAGGGACGCATTAGCCCTTTTGGCCACACTGTCATACTGGGAGTGCATATTTGGCGATAAATCGATCCCCGAGAGGTCGATTTCTATCCGCCGATTCAGGCGGGTAGTATAGACCTAGCCTAAGATGGTAAGAATCGTATCCCTCAAACTGATAGAGCTGCTTCATGGGTGAGTGGTACTTGTCATTTCTGAACCCCTGCTCTGCAGAAGACAATCGCAAGTAACCTGTGTGGTGATGGATCAATGAGCCCTCCACCAGCTCCTTTTCTGACCTGTGCACCCCCACAAAGCCCTGAAAACCTGCACAGCTGGCTTCTTGGTGTAGCGATGGTGTAAATCCCACCTATGAGCTCCCCAAATCCTAACTGTCCCCACCACATGCAGAAGAACCACACTGATTCTGCTGCATTTGGTGTAAAGAGGCTGGATTGGGACCTAGGACCTTTCCTATGGATTTAATATGTCTGCATCTGTAGTTTGACTAAAGGACATTTTGCTTTTGAGCAGACTATGGGGTAATGATTGTCTAAATACTCAACTCAGGGTGAGCTAAAGTCTGTGACTGAGCAAAACCTCCCTTGAGTTTGAGGAGTGCATAGTTTGGCCCACTCACTGTCAGGAATCAGGGCCTGCAACAGAGCTAGTCTCCAGGCAGCCTCATCAGTACAGCTGGCCTGCAGCAGGCTGCCTGAATGGCCGCACCATGTGATTGGCTGGCTGTGGGGTGGGGGAAGCAGGCCAGCTCTTAAATCATCATTAGCAGCAGCAGCAGCTCACTGGCTGCGCAATGCTCATGCCCACCACTGCACCAGCAATGTTTTACTTTGTTACTGGCCTGGCCTGGCCTGGCCTCTGCCCTGTCCCTGCCTTGAACCCCTCCTTGCCTGCTGCCCTGCTTGCTCCAGTTCCTTCCCTCTGGTTTGACCCTTGACCCTGGCTTCCAACTACTTGACTCTGACCTCAATCCTTGGTACCTGAAGCCTGCTCTGACCACTACAGCTGATGCCTGTTCCGATCACTAGGCTAGACTGCCCTTGTCCTGGTTGGCTGACATTCACTAATGGCTTGATCCTGCAAGGTGCTGAATACTCCAGCTCAGATCCAGCACTTAAGTAAAAGCTTAGCTAGAAGCACATGAGTAGCCCCATTTACTTCACTGAGATTACATGCTTAAGTGCTTTGTGAGATCAGGACCAGAACTCTCAGCATTTTGCAGAATCAAGCCCTATGACATAGAGATAGGTTGTAAAACTACTGCAATAGTTGTAAGTTGCAAATGCTTCCTCTCAGATACTGATTTCAGGAGAGTTATTGGTTTCATATCCTTTTCCTACAGTAATTTTGAACCTGTTTTCTTATTTTCCTGAATTTCAACTGCAATCAATATTCAGGTATCCACCAGAATCAACACAAGCAAATTAGAAGAAATACTCATTTTTTGTCATCTTTATTCCTTAGTATTCTCAAAAGGAAATTATATTCTGTTATAAATAAATTACGAAGCAATTATTTAAATGTTTGAATACACTCACACACATTCTGAGGAATGAGCTTTTTTTATTTTTTAAGAAATACAATATATATACACTCGTTATTCATTTGTGTAAAAATGACTGTTCCTCGGTAAATGAGCACATTGTGCACATTTTGTTCTCACCGATCTCTGCCTTTTGAGATCTCATGCTCAATAATCCCTTTCTTCCTACATCTCATGGATTAAGACTTCTCCTCCAGCGTGACAGACTTTAAATAACCTAATGACTAGGTGCCTGCAAAATCCCTTTGCCTGTGTTATAAATAACAATATGTAGTCTTCAGTGAATACTAAGAATGTAAATCAGTACTGCTCTTGCTGTTTATAGTATCAGAAAAAACCCGCAATTGAATTATAGCCTTATGTTCAACCATGGACCGTGAAATTAGTAGGTAATACCAATGTACTGCAACTCATACCCTTAAAAAAGGATCAGAATTGAAATTATGGAAAACATTTTTTAAAAACAACAACTATTCTTTGTAGCCCATTTGGACCATCACTGCATCATTTGTGACAGCAAAGGGTGAAAAATCAAATCTGCATTTGATTGGCAACTGGTTATTAACTACTGAAAATGCTCTAAAACTGGTAAATAGCAACATAAACCCTACTGTATAATTTCACTTTAATTTTTTCCTTTCTTCTTATTCTTTTATAACACATCTACTGTTCACTGCTAGTAGTACGTCTTTTAGATAGTAAGTTCCTAGAGACAAAGAGTAAGATTCAATTCTGTTTAGTTACATGGGTATAAATCTCAAATAACTACTGACTTCCATGATGTTACTCTAGATTTACACCCGTGAGGTATAATTGAGGAATCTGCCTGTGCAATTTATGGATTCTGTGTGAGATTATGAACTCTCTGTATGTGTCTTTACCAAACTGCACACTCCATTTTGAAGGTGTAGCCTTTTGTCTGCTCTGTTTTGTCAGGGAAGAGGTCACCTTGGCAACAAAGTCACCTGGCAGAGGTCTATGATCCCCTGAGGGGGCTGAGCAGGACATCACCTGACAAAAGTTATAAAAGTTTATCACTTTATAAAAGTTATAAAAAGACATGAGCTGCTTTACTCACAGTCCCATTTTTCTCCCACTGAAGAGGAGGAAGAAACAACCCAACAAGTAGGGGCCTGATGAGGCAGAGGACCCTGCCTATCTTCCTGATGGTCCCCACCACCAACCAAGGGAAGGGTGAGCTAATGAGGGGCATGTGTTTAGAATATTTATTGTTTTCTAAGCGATCTGTACTGTCTTGTGCTTTATCTGTTATGTAAAAAAGCAATGATGTTAGAACTCTGTGCAGTGTGTAATAGGCTTTACAATCACTATTTGCATCCTGAGAGAATTACACTGTAACCCCGAGGCTCACACCTGGGATGGAGTTCGGTGTTTAAGTAGCAGGGGAGTCAGTAGGGTCAACACTGAGCCCAGAAGTAGGGAGCTGGCCAGCAGATTCCAGCTCTCACACTAGAGGGTCTGTACCTGAGGGTGAACCTGGGGACCCCAAGCTCGGCGCAGTGGCTGGGCCCTGTTCCGCTACTGGAGGCTTAAAACACCTGGTGATCCCACCACAGGATCTCCTTACAGAAATCTAGTGAGTGTCCAAGAGAGGGCACTCGACTGGGACCTGTGATGACCAGGAGAACACTGAGCAGAATTTGGGCCATCTATTGTTATTTGTGTCGTGTCCTGTTCAGAGCAGACTTCTGGCATTTAAATAGTAATAAATAATAATACATTGTCATCTGTTGACCTGTGATCCGGTCTTGACTTCAGAAAAAAGGATTTAATTAGCTTGCTATTATGTTATAGGGTATATTGCTGACAAGATATATATAACTCTGCTAAGAGGTATAATACTGACAGATTATATTAAAATGCTTTGTAGAATAATGTGAGCTGAAATGTAAGTAAAAGAACTCAAATGATGAATAATAATGGGCTTTGCTATAGCATAAAGTAATTAGTGTGAGGCCTAATGAGGTAGGCTTGATAATTAGTTAGCTGAAGTAGGCCTAAGGGTTTGACATAAGGTCATAAATGGTGCACTTTCATGCTATGTGACAAACAAGTTAAGTGCAATAAAAATAGGTAACTGCATAATTGCACAAGTAAGCTTGAAATAGAGTATTTTTAGGTATTTTTGCAAGTACTGTAACTATACAGATAACCGCATTGATGCATAGAATTTATTAGGAAATTAATTGACACAAATAGCCCATGTTAACAATTGCAAATAGGACTGTGGTCAACCTGCATAACACTGTGACCCCAGAAATCCCCCCCATGCCAACTGGCAGAGAGCCCCCCATATTGTAGCTCACATCAGGACTCATTGCCCCAAAACATTGTTGTCATAATATATATCCCAAAGGTGTCATGTAAGGTATCATATGTAAACTGGTGACATGCTGGTCCTGAAAGTCATGGTGTGATGCATGTACAGGCTGTAGAGAATGAGTTATGGATGTGTCCTGGAAATACATTCTTAAAATGTGTCTGGAAGACAGAGTGGGCACACATTAGCTCACAGGTCTGGGTGTCCTGAGCAAGATGTCACAACCACACATGGACAAAGGGCAGGACCAAGGTTTATTATGGTAACTGAAATGGTCAAATATGTGTAGGTAGAATAAGATAAAAGATCTGAATATTTGCCCTGAAAATTGGGTGCATTGGGTCCCTGAAACAGTGTACACTGCATCTGCTATCTTTGTTTTCCATGAATCTTAGGAATGTGTGAGTATGCCAATAATCCTAAGAGCTATTTCACTGTTTGTGATTTTGTGATGTTTGGATGTTTGTAATGAGTGGACCTATTTGGATGTTAAGTAAAGTTTTTATCTATATCTGTTATGTGTTTCACCAATCCTTTACTCAACAACAATCTTCTATGAAGCTGCATGGGAAGGACCTGTGTTAGTAACAAGTATAATTTGAAATTCTTATAATTCACCAGGCTACACTTCTTTCTTATAGGTAATAGTCCCAATTCTCTTTGCCATATTCATTGAAGTATGCCTAGTTAGTATCCTGTTACATGAATAAGAACAAAAGGATTTGGTCCCACACATAGTTTGTTTGTGCCTGCCTACTGTATCATAATGCTAAAATCAAACATGTTTAGCTACCACCCCTCATTCTTCTTCATTTTTTTATATTTTCTTGACTTTGCAGGGCCTAATTTACAGTAACCAGAGCCACTAATGCACTTTCTGTACAAATAGTAGGCAAAGTCTAATGAAATCCCATCTTCATTTGATCTCTACATCTCCATTAACAATTTTAAAAGGAGTTTACTTACTGTAACTGGAGATTCTTCAAGACGTGTGGTCCCTATCTGTATTTCACATATGAGTATGCATGCACACCATGTGCCCGAGTCCTGAACTTCTTCAAAGCAGTGTCTGTTGGCTCGCACATGCTCAGTAGCTCTCCTTGTTCTCTTGACTGAGGGTATAAGAGGCAGTGTGGTTTGACACCCCTCCAGTTCCTCGTCTTACCACAAATCCAACAGGTTCCAAAGCAGAGGGGATGGAGGGCAGGTAGTGGAATACAGATAGGTACCACACATCTCAAAGAACTTCTAGTTACAGTATGTAACTCCACTTCTTCTTCAAGTGCTGGTCCCTATGTTTATTCCACACATGGGCGATTAGCAAGCAGTGTTCAAACTGGAAGGAAGCCAGTAACAAATATGCGGCTGATGCCCCTGCTGTGTCCGCAGCCAAGGCATGAACTAGAGTGTATTGCGTCACGAACATGTGGATAGAACTCCAAGTGGCCACCCTACAGGTGTCCTGCAGCAGAACCTCAGATAAGGATGCTGTGGAAGCAGCTTGTGCTCATATGGAGTGAGCTGTGACACTTGCTATCTTGTCGCACAGTAAGATGCATCCCAAAACCCACTTAGAAATCCTCTGGGAAGATAAAGCTAGCCCACACGATCTCTCTGTTATAGCAATAAACAGTCTCGGTGATTTTCTAATAGGTTTGGCTCTTTGTGGGTAGAATGCCAGGGCATGCTAAACTTTCAGGGAATGAAGTCTTTGTCTTTAGAGGAAGCATGGCTTTTAGAAAAAAAATACGGGCATTGTTTGATTAATGTGGAATTCAGATACAATCTTGGGAAGAAATTTGGAGTGTAGTTGGGATGTTTTCTTTATGAAACATTGTATATGGAGGATCCACCATGATGGATCTAAGCTCGCTGACCCTCCTGTGATAGCCACTAAGAACACCACCTTCATGGACAGGTGCGTCATGGCACATGTTGACATGGGTTCGAAAGGAGGGCCTGTGAGTGTCAAGATGAGGTTAAGGCTCCATTGAGGTGTAGGTTTAAGCACAAGTGGGAAGATCCTGATTTCACCTTTCATAAACCATGGGTGAGTAAAGATGGAACATCCTTCCACTGGGGGAGGAAGGCACTTACTGTTGCTAGCTGTACTTGCAGTGAACTAATAGCAAGACCTGACATCTTCAGGGAGAGGAGATAGTCTAGGACAATTGGAATACTCTGTAGAATGTTGGTGGAGTTGTGCCAGGCTAAAAAAATCTCCATTTGGCCAGATAGCAGGTTCTAGTTGAGTCCTTTCTACTTGGTTAAGGCTGTTCCAAAGTGGGGCCAAGCATGAGTGTTCTACTTCCGACATCCCACCACAGGAGGGAGGCATCTGTCACTATGGTGGCCATGGGCATGGGAGGGCTGAAGAGAACCCCCACCATGACCCTTTCCGGATTTGACCACCAAGTGAGGAAGAAGTTAATTCTGGTGGGAACTGACACTGTGGAGTTGATGTGGTCCTTGTTCATTTGACAGATTGACTGGAGCCAAGCTTGCAGACACAGCAAGTGGCATCTGGCAAACAGCATAACGTAGGTGCATGCAGCCAGGTGGCCTTACAGTGAAAGACACCTGTGGAAAGTAGTTTATGGTCTGTGGGTAAGGCGTGAAATCAGGTTGCTCATTGTATGAAACCCATATGCAAAGAAGAATGCTCTGTCAGAAACCAAGTCTGTCCTCACCCCTATAAAGTTTATTGTCTGCTACCACAGAGAAAACCTTCGTAAATACTCTGGGTGCTATCATAAGCCCAAAGGGGAGGACCTGAAATTGGAAATATTCTTGGCCAACTGTAAAACACAGGAACTTCCTGTATGATGGGTGAATGTCCACATGGAAATACATGTCCTTCATGTCAAGACCTGCAAAACCACATCCCTTCCTGAAGGGAGGAGATTATTGATGCCAACATAATCATCTGGAATTTCAGCTTTTGAATAAAGATGTTGAGTTGCCGAAGGTCAGGCTCCTGGTACTGCTAGTGGTTATCTGGGGAACAGGCAAAAAAAGATTGACCACGTCATCTGGGGTTGATGAAGAGGGATCTGTCAGTACCTGTGGCTCCAGTTCTGGCTATTCCTCTTTATACACCAACAGAACCAGTTGTCGAGAGGAGGAGAAGTGGTACGACTCCTGAGAAGGGCGTGGACTCTTGCCATATGTATCCCACAGACCCCAATAAGGCCAGAAAGATGGATCAATCGGTTGCTGGGGACCCCAAGAGAATCAGTACCAGTGGTCCCGGGGGGGGGCCATACCCAGAGAAATGGCAATCATAACCCCTTGACTGTCTGTTGGGGGTCGAGTGTCTCCATGAAGATACTGGTGCAGCCATCTTCTCTAATTCATCCAAGTCTGAAAACTGTTCCAGTGGTAGCAGTGGGGCTGTTGGTACTGAGACACTCCTGCCAAATGGCTGGAGATGAGATGGCTCCTGGGACATTGATATAGACTCTTGTTTCAGAGGAAGGACATCCCTCAGGAAGGCAGCATTGGAAAGAAGTGGAGACTGTGGATAAGGAAGGAACATATCCTCCGGTGGTATGTATATTTCTATATGCCCTGGTGTCCGAGGGGTTCCAGCAGTCAAGTGTAAAGGACCTGGCACATCTGTGGCAGACGGACATTCTTTAGCTGAATGAGGTGGTACAGACAATGGGTCTGGACCAGCACTGGTAGATGGAACCAATGAATGTCTATCCTTATGTTTCAGTTCCAAGGTGACTGACGGAACTGGCAGATCTTTCTTTTTATGTATCTTGCCTTCTAGTCTGGGGATCTTCAGTAGAGCTGGCTCCTTTGGTTCCATATGTGATGTCTCACCTGACCTGGATAGGCTCAGAGAGGAAGCATGTTTCTTATGGACAGTTCTTGAAGGAGATCTATCCTTGCACCCCTGAAAATGCCCTCTATTCTCATGGGGACCCTAGAAGAAGAGTCCTTAGGCTTAGATGTTGAAGGCTCTGCTCCAAGGCATGTGCTTGGAGGGGCATTGCTGGTCAGCTGAGGCTGATGTATAGGGAGGTCTCCTTGGCCTGGACTGGAGAGGGGCCTCATAGCCTTGTCCATCAAGTGCTTTCATAGGCATAGCTCCCAGGCTGCTTGAGTTCTGGGTGGGAAGGAGTGACATTTCTGCAAAGTGCGCAATCTATGTGCCTCACCCAGACAGTACAGGCACTGTTGACGTTTGCCACTGATGGAGAAGGAGCAAGGGCAGGAGATGCAATCCTTGAATCCTGGGACTCTGGGCATAGTCCTGGAGCTGGGGAGGGGTTCCCCAACTGAGGGAAAGAAATTCTCTGTGCTAACTATAACTTTAACTACTAAGCTAAAATATATAACCATTTACAAATATTTTCTTTCTTTGCAGGTTATACAACTAAGTGACAGAGGGCACGATTCTGACTCAGGCCATGCAGCCATAAGAAGGAACTGGAGAGGTGCCGACCCTCACTGCCACTTGCACAAGGAGCTCTACTGCGCATGTGCGGGCCAACGGACACTGCTTTGAAGAATTTCCAGACTCAGGCTCAGGGTGTGCACACGTGCCCATGTGCGGAATACAAATAGGGACCAGCACTTGAGAAGAAACAGCCACTATTCCTTCCTAGAGCCATTCTTTTTTTATGTACTCTTATTCTCAAAGTTTATAACTATTTTATTTTTCCCTATTAGCTTATGTTTTCAGTCGCCTATAATAGTGCTTTAATCCACTAACACAAATAAATCAAACAATGACATCAATCCAAAATGTTAATAGCAAAAAAATCTTGAACTGCCTTTTCAAACCATCCCAAACATTTGCTGCTTGAATATTATGGGGTAGAGAGTTTCAGCAAACTCAGGCTAGAAAAACTGAGAAAATGCAAATTGAAACAATTAGTAAAGTAGGGTTAGTAAAGTGGGTTAAGCTTAATTAAATGTGCATAGATGTGAGCCAAATTCCTGAATATATATATATAGAGGATGTCATTAAAATTCAAAGGTTAATAATAATATGATGGTATTTGGCACTTCTGTAGCACTTTTCGTTTGAGTCTCTGAAAGCACCTTCTGAATATTAATTAAACCTTGATGCTCTGTGAGGTAGGTGAATAATTATATCTCTATGTTAAACCTCGGTAAACTGAGGCTATGAGACGTAAAGTGACTTACCCCAGTTCAAATACTGATTATTGGTAGCACAGATGGAGCCTAAACAATGAATTCACAAAATTCAAACCCAGGCTGATTGTGAATGTATTCACTTTATGAACTAACTTCTCTCACAGATCTTTTCTTAGAACCTAATTCAGAAGTTGCACACAATTGACTTTTCAGGTCTGAATTTGGCCCTTGCAACTTGCAGAAAAATATTTGCAAAGACTGCAAGATAGAGCACGGGGAAGATGGATAATGTTTTGCTAGGAGAGAGACAAGGTGGGTGAGACAATATCTTTTATTGGAACAACTTCAGTTCATTAAAGAAACAAGCTTTGGAGCTTGCACAGCTTCTTCTTGACCCGAAGAAGAGCTCTGTGTGAGCTCAAAAGCTTGTCTCTCTCACCAACAGAAGCTGGTCCAATAAAAGATATTACCTCACCCACCTTGTCTCTCTCATATCCTGGGGCTGACACAGGTACACTGTATACAATGTTTTGCTATGTCAATGGTTCGACTCAGTTGAAACCATTGATCTGAAATGAGTATGTTGAAACTAACTATTTAAATGGAACAATCAACCCATTAAACTGTAACATAATGAACTGGGCTGTCTCAAGCACTTCCACGGAGATCTCAATAGAAGAACTGTAGCATAACAAAGTGTCTCATACGCTAAGAATCAGAGTGCATTATGAGGGACTGACTCATATGCTTGGGAGAGAGTGATATTGCTTTGTTCTTTTGAGTGAAGATTAAATAACCAAAAAAATCAATTATAAAGCAATGGTAATGGTCTTATTTTAAGTCACAAACACTGAAAGCAAAATATGCTATTACTTTTCCCAGACCAAAACAGATTGTGTATTTGGCCTTAACTAGTGCCTTTACAATTCACCCCTTTCTGCTGAGGCATTAGAGGACATATGTATGTATATATATATATATATATATATATATATATATATTAAGTTAAGTAG